GCATCCTGTGCCAGAGTGAGCACTGTGAAAACACATCTGCAGCCTCTGGCTTTCCCCTTCCTCTCCTGGATGTTTTCTAGTCCCATTAATATGTTTGGCTCCTTTGCAAGGCTTTTTTTTTTTCTTTTGGCACATGGGAAGGAGGAGGAAGAAACCCCTGCTCGCTTTACTTGCCAGGCAGGGTTTCCCAAATTTCCAAGAGCAAGGCGTAGCAAGAAGAACTTTTTTTTTCCCCTTGGTGCATAAACATTTTTTTCATTCGTGGTTTTTAATAGCTTTGAGTGCTGCTCTTAAACTCCCTGTGTCCTTGTTGAACACATTTCATGTGTGGAGGCACTGGGAAGGGAATTTTCCTGCAAAGAAATCGGTTCTTCATGTGGGAACAATAGGCCAGGATGGATTTTACACTTCAGAGAATTCTGGAGTATCCTGAGCTGGAAGGGACCCTCAGGGATCAAATCCAGCCCTGTCCCTGCACAGCCACCCCAAACCCCACCCTGAGCAGCCCTGAGGGCTCTGTCAGTGAGGGGCTGGGAACACAAACCCTGTGAGGAACAGCTGAGGGAGCTGGGGGTGCTCAGCCTGGAGAAAAGGACACTCAGGGGTGCCCCCATCGCTCTCTGCAGCTCCTGAAAGGTGCCTGTGCTCAGCTGGGCTGGGCTCTTTCTGCAGCAGCACTGACACAACCAGAGCACACAGCCCCAAGCTGCACCAAGGGAAATACAGGTTGGATATCAGGAAAAAAATATAGTTGGATATTAGGAAGTTGGTGAGATCCTATCCTACAGGTAGGATATTAGGAAAAAACTAATTAGGATATTAGGTGGGGTATTAGGAAAAATTCTCATTCTTTCAGTTTTTCATAGAAAGGATGATGAAGTTCTGCAATGGCTGCCCAGGGAGGTGGTGCAGTCCCCATCCCTGGGTGTGTTTAACAAAGCCTGGATGTGGCACTGGGTGCCAGGGTTCAGCTGAGGGGTCGGGGCTGGGTTGGACTCGATGAACTTGGAGGTCTCATCCAGCCCAGTGATTCTGGAATTGTGTGATTGTGTGAATTCTGTAATTCTGTGT